CCACAGCCCCGGGGGGGTCACCCCGTCCCGTGCCGGGGGATGCGGTGGCATCGCTGGTACTGGGCGGTACTGGGAGCACTGGGTGGCACCGAGGGGACCGGGTGGCACCCACGGGGACCGGGTGGCACCCACGGGGGGCGTGGGGGGTGACACCGAGGGGATGGGGGTTCCGCTGTCACGGCGGGGGAGGGGAATGGACCCCGTGTCCCGCACGGGGACCGGGACAGGGGGGGACGGGACCGGGACCGAGACACGGATGGGGACAGGGACAGGGACAGGGACGGGGGGGATGGCGCGTCCCGCGTCCCGCGTGGGGACCGGGAGCCACCGCGTGTCCCCCCCCCCTCAGCGTGTCACGGGTTCGAGCCCCCCCGGCAGCGAAAGGGGAAGTGAAAGGGAGGGGGATGGGGGACACCGGGGGACCCTGACCGGGACCACCGGCACCATTAACCCCTTCCTGCCCGCCCGGGGGGGCATCACCGGAGCGGGGGGGGTCACACAGAGCGGGGGGGGGAGCATCACCACGGTCCGGGGCCGCTGCAACGCACCGGGAGCGGCCCCGGGAGCGGCCCCGGGAGCGGATGGAGGCGGCGGCCGCGGGTCCATCCGGTGCCGGTGCTGCCGCCGGGGCCTCTCCCGGGCCCGGGGGGGTCTCTCGGTGGGTCCGGGCCCCCTCCCCGCCCGCACTTACCGGCCGCGGGCGCTGCCGGTGCCGCTACCGGTGCCGGTGCCGCCGCTCGGGCTTTCGGTGCCGCCGCTCTGAGCGGGGGTGGGCGGGGCTTAACGGGGCGGGGTCGGTGGGGGCGGGGCTTGGATGGGCGGGGTCAGCGGGAGGAGCCGCCGCGCCCTCCCCCCCCCTCCCCCGGTCGAGATTTGGGGTCCCCGCGGTGTCACCGCCGGGGCTGGGGGGGGACAAGGAGGGGACATTGTCACACACGGCCCCGGGAGGGGATCTGGAGCAGGGACCCCACTTGGGGATCTGGTAATGGGATCTGGCACTGGGATTCCAAACTGGGATCAGGCTCTGGGATTCCAAACTGGGATCAGGCTCTGGGATTCCAAACTGGGATCAGGCTCTGACAGCTGGAATTGGGATCTGGCACTGGGGTTCCAAATTGGGATCTGGTATTGGGATCCCACACAGGGATCTGGCACTGGGGTTCCAAACTGGGATCTGGTATTGGGATCCCACACAGGGATCTGGCACTGGGATCCCATACTGGGATCTGGCACTGGGATCCCGTACTGGGATCCCACAGAAGGATTTGGCACTGAGATCCCAAACTGGGATCTGGCACAGGGCTCTTGTACGGGGATCTCACCCAGGGATCTTTTATGGGGATCTGGCACAGGGATCCCACAGAGGAATTTGGCTCAGGGATCTCACGTGGGGATCCCACACTGGGATCCGGCACTGGGATCTCCCCCAGGGAATCTTTTTTGGGGGATCCCATACTGGAATCTCAGGGATCTCACACTGGGATCTCCTCCATCCCCAGGGATCCCCGTTCCCCTGGGGACACTCCCTGCTCCTTTGGGGGTTTTATGGCCTGGTCATCATCATCATCATCATCATCATCATCACCATCATCATCATCATTGTCTTTGTCATCATCATTGACATTTTTTTCATTGTCATCATTGTTATTGTCATTGTCATCATCACCATCGTCTTTGTCATCATCATCATCATCATCATCATATCATCATTGTCTTTGTCATCATCACTGCCATCATTGTCATCATCATCGTAATCATTGTCAGTCATTGTCATCCTCATCATCATCTTCATCTTCATCTTCATCTTCATCTTCATCATCATCTTCATCTTCATCTTCATCTTCATCCTCATCCCCATCCTCCTCCTCACCCCCATGTTGGCCCTGGCCATCGCTGTCCCCAGTGTCCCCCTCCAGAACGTCCTCGAGCCACTCCAGGAGCTCCTCAGGCCCCGGCAGATCCTCCCCGTGCTCCATGGGCAGCCACACACTGCGGGCCTGGGGACACGGGGTGACACGGGG